TGTGTGTGTGTGTGTGTGTGTGTGTGTGTGTGTGTGTGTTTTAGCCAGTAAGTGAATAAAGTCATTTTCCTATTAACGTGTGTGTAGACAAAGACTCACAGTTTATTTACACAGTGTTGTTAGGGTTAGGGGAAGAGACATCACAACCAACATTACACACAGTTCCTTGAGTATAACGCCACTTTAAGAGTGTTTGCCTGTGTAGGATCTAATTTCACATATACCACAGAGAGAGAGAGAGACTGAGAGAGAGACTGAGAGAGAGAAGTAGAGAGAGAGAGAGAGAGAGAGAGAGAGAGAGAGAGAGAGAGAGAGAGAGAGACAGAGAAAAACAGAAACTAAAAAATACCAAATCTGCTCCAATCTCCTCTATTTGCTCGTCATCCGCCACAGTTATCTGGAGATGGCCGCCACTCTGAGAGACACACCGTATAAGGCACTATAGGGTGTAGTATGTTAAGAATATGCTAAAGATAAGTGTGTGGTGTATGTCCGGATGTCAGCATACACGAGGCGCCGAAGTGGTATGCGCTATTTCCGCCAGGTAGTTCGTGTACGATGATATATATGGCAGGTTATACGAGGGGGAACTATACTCAGGAATTATACGCTAATATCTGTATGAAAATATAGATTATACAACTTATTATGTATGGTTCAATATTGTAGCATAAAAGGCATAGAATGACTTAAAGTTTATCTAATAATAATAATAATAATAATAATAATAATAATAATAATAATAATAATAATAATAATAGTAATAATAAGTGTGTACCGTTTAAGTATAAGTATTTACTATTGAGTGTTACTTACGATGTACTTAGAATATAGAGCACTTAAGGGCCAGTTCAAGTGCCACTCCGAGTATTACCTAACCTCTCTCTCCTCACCCCCAACTCTCACCGACCCCCCATCAAGCGTGAGTTACTTTTCTCAATAGGTGAATCAGTCAATTGTACTCACTTGTTTATTCATCCTGTTATTGTACTCATTTGTTATTGATTCATTTGTTATACATTTGGTTTGTTATTGATATGATGTTATTCTATTGTTATTCATTTCGTTTCTATTTCTTTCATTATTCAGTCGTCGTTTGTTTTGATTCCTTCATTCATCTCTTCACTTCATTCTTAACCCTTCTTTCATCTTCACATCAAGTAAATATTTCCAAGACCTCGAGGTGGCAACACTCACTCACCTCGAATGTTGCCAACTACAGATTACAGTTTATTTTTTTAATCCTCGTATCATTGTGGTCTAATTATTCTTATTTGGTCCTTAAACACGTGTTGGGGGTGACCTTTGACCTCTAATACCAAGCAGAGAGGAAGGTCATTGAGATCAGGGAGGGTTTTAAGACCATAGGGGGAAAAGATCAGGTATAGAACACGTTTAGTTGTTGTGTTTAGGTTGTGGTTGGTTGTGTTTAGGTTGTGGTTGGTTGTGTTTGGGGTTGTGGTTGGTTGTGTTTAGGTTGTGGTTGGTTGTGGCTTAGGGTTGTGGTTGGTTGTGTTTAGGTTGTGGTTCCCAGGCCCCAGGCCAGCCCAGGCCCAAACGGCACCCAGGCCCCAGCCCAGGGGCCTGCACACTGCGCCCAGGGCCGTATCATCGTGCCCAGGCCTGTCATCGTCTGTACTGCGGCCTCATCGCGTCCAAATGCGGTCATCGTACCCAACAGGCCGACTGCGCCCAGCCTGCAATCATCGCGCCCAGGCTGCACTGGTCAGCTCCAGGCCAGGTCATCGCGCTTCAGGCCGGCCATCGTTTTCCCAGGCCTGCAATACCGCGCCTCATACCGTGTCATCGCGGCCCAGTGCCTGCACACGCCTGAGGCCTGCAACGGTCAGCCCAGGCCGTACTGGTCAGGCCCAGGCCCCAGCCCAGGCCCAGGCACACGCCCAGGCCCCAGGGCATCCAGCCCAGGCCTGCACACTGCCCAGGCCTGCACACCCCAGGCACCAATCCACCGCGCCCAGGCCGCACGGTCAGCCCAGGCCTGCACCGGGTCAGGCCCAGCTGCACCACTGCGCCCCAGGCTGGGCCTGGCCTGCGCCCAGGCCTGCAATCCATCGCGCCCAGGCCTGCACACTGCCCAGGCCATGGCCCCACGTGCCCAGGCCTGCAGCCGGTCGCGCCCAGGCCTGTGTCACTGCGTCTGCACACTGCGTTTTGAGGCCGCACACTGCGCCCCAGGCCTGCAGTGTTTAGGTTGTGGTTGGTTGTGTTTAGGTTGTGGTTGGTTGTGTTTAGGTTGTGGTTGGTTGTGTTTAGGTTGGGGTTGTGTTTAGGTTGTGGTTGGTTGTGTGGTTGTGTTGTGTTGTGGTTGGTTGTGTTTAGGTTGTGGTTGGTTGTGTTTAGTTGTGGTTGGTGTTTAGGTTGTGGTTGTGTTTTAGGTTGTGGTTGGTTGTGTGTGTTGGTTGTGTTAGGTTGTGGTTGGTTGTGTTTAGGTTGTGTTGGTTGTGTTTAGGTTGTGGTTGGTTGTGTTTAGGTTGTGGTTGGTTGTGTTTAGGTTGTGGTTGGTTGTGTTTAGGTGGTGGTGTGTTTGGTGTGGTGGTTGTGTTTGGTGTGGTTTGGTTGTGGTTGGTTGTTAGGTTGTGGTTGGTTGTGTTTTGTTGTGGGTGTGTGTGTTTGGTTGTGTTTAGGTTGTGGTTGGTGTGTTTAGTGTGGTTGGTTGTGTTAGGTTGTGGTTGGTTGTGTCTAGGTTGTGGTTGGTTGTGTTTAGGTTGTGGTTGGTTGTGTTTGTGTGGTTGGTTTGTTGGCTGGTTGTTTGGGTTGGTGTTTGTGGTTGGTTGTGTTGGTTGTGGTTGGTTGTGTTTAGGTTGTGGTTGGTTGTGTTTAGGTTGTTGGTTGGGTTTAGGTTGTGGTTGGTTGTGTTTAGGTTGTGGTTGGTTGTGTTTAGGTTGTGTTGGTTGTGTTTAGGTTGTGGTTGGTTGTGTTTGGTTGTGTTTAGGTTGTGGTTGGTTGTGTTTAGGTTGTGGTTGGTTGTGTTTAGGTTGTGGTCGGTTGTGTTTAGTTGTGGTTGGTTGTGTTTTAGGTTGTGGTTTGGTTGTGTTTGATTTGTGGTTGGTTGTGTCTAGGTTGCTTGGTTGGTTGTGTTTAGGTTGTGGTTGTTTGTGTGTTGGGTTGTGGTTGGTTGTGTTTAGGTTGTGGTTGATTTGTGTCTAGGTTGTGGTTGGTTGTGTTTAGGTTGTGGTTGGTTGTGTTTAGGTTGTGGTTGGTTGTGTTTAGGTTGTGGTTGGTTGTGTTTAGGTTGTGGTTGGTTGTGTTTGGTTGTGGTCAGTTGTGTTTTAGGTTGTGGTTGGTTGTGTTTAGGTTGTGGTTGGTTGTGTTTAGAGTTGTGGTTGGTTGTGTTTAGGTTGTGGTTGGTTACATTATGCTTCTGAGTTGTGGTTGGTTGTGTTTAGGTTGTGGTTGGTTGTGTTTGGGTTTGGTTTGTTTGTGTCTAGGTTGTGGTTGGTTGTGTTTAGGTTGTGGTTGGTTGTGTTTAGGTTGTGTGGTTGGTTGTCTTAGGTTGTGGTTGGTTGTGTTTAGGTTGTGGTTGGTTGTGTTTGGGATTTTGTGGTTGGTTTGTGTTTGGGTTGTGGTCGGTTGTGTTTGGGTTGTGTGGTTGGTTGTGTGTCTGGGTTGCGTGGTTGGTTGTGTTTGGGTTGTGGTTGATTTGTGTTTGGGATTTGTGGTTGGTTGTGTTTGGGTTGTAGTTGGTTGTGTTTGAGGTTGTGGTCGGTTGTGTTTAGGTTGGTTGGTTGTGTGTTTGGGTTGTGTTGGTTGTGTTTGGTTGTGGTGGTTGTGGTTGGTTGTGTTTAGGTTGTGGTTGGTTGTGTTTAGGTTGTAGTTGGTTTGTGTTTAGGTTGTGGTTAGTTGTGTTTGGGTTGGTTGGTTGTGTTTAGGTTGTGGTTGGTTGTGTTTAGGTTGTGATTTGGTTGTGTTTAGGTTGTGGTTGGTTGTGTTTAGGTTGTGGTTGGTTGTGTTTAGGTTGTGGTTGGTTGTGTTTAGGTTGTGGTTGGTTGTGTTTTAGGTTATTGGTTGGTTGTGTCTGGGGTTGTGGTTGGTTGTGTTTAGGTTGTGGTTGGTTGTGTTTTAGGATTGTGGTTAGTTGTGTCTAGGATTTGTGTGTGTTTGGTTGTGTTTAGGTTGTGGTTGGTTGTGTTTCTAGGTTGTGTGGTTGTGTTGGGTTGTGGTTGTTTTTGGTACCTGTTATTGTTATGGTAGTTGTAATGGTTGTGATGAGGAGTGTTGTTGTTGTTGTGGTTGTAGAAGTGTTTGTTATTGTTTATGTATATTTACCTGTCTACCTGTTTACCTGTCAATACCTGTATCTACCACAGTTACTTGGCATTAATACTACCTACCACCTACTACCACTATCATAACCACGTACTACCAACTACCACACCTACCACCACCATTATTAACTACCACAACTACAACCATTACCACTACCATCATTATCATCTCTATTATCACCCCTACCCCACCATCACCACCTACCACTCTACCACAACCACCACCTACCATCACCAACCTCTACCACAAACACTACCTACCATCATCACTACAACTACCACCACTACCACAACTACCATCACTATCTTATCTATGTGAATTTAGTTTAGCATGTAAAATGGATTGTTATTGCTTGAGGTGATTTCCTGTGAGCTACCTGTCCATTAAGGGTGATTGAAGAGGGTGTATGGGGGAAGGGAGAGAGAGAGGAGGAGGAAGGGAGAAGAGAGAGAGAGGGGGGGTAGGGAGACTCATTCGCCTCCACCTACTGACTCACCCTTAGTACACCCACCTGAAGAAAAACTCCACCCTCCTCCCTCCCTCAAGAGTGGGTGGCGGTAGTGGTGGGCGGCAGTGATGGGTGGAAGGGTAGGTGGAGGAAATAGGATGTAGGTAGGTGGGTGGGTGGGTGGAGGAGGGTCATGGATGGGTGGAATTACAGGTAGTCATAGGTGGTGTATCGGTAACCCATTAATTATCTTTCTCTCCCACAGGTGTACAGTACGCTACCTGACCACCACCACCACCACCACCACCCACCTGGTTCTCTCTGACGCCCTCTACAGGTTGGTACTGTCACTTCTTATGGCTCTTAAGTACTTTTCCTTTTTTTTTAGTCACTTAATGAGGTAAGTACTTTCTCACTTCTTTCTAGAATGTGGGGGAGGGGGGAGGGAGGGGGAGGGAGGGGGGGTTAAGTTTTCGGTCCTCTTCTTTTCATTCTTTTCTCTCTTTCTTTTTTTATTATTTCTTTCCACTCATTCTGTATGTGTGTGTGTGTGTGTGTGTGTGTGTGTGTACATGAGCTTGAAGGGCGGAGATAATTGCAAGGCTATGTGAGAGAGAGAGAGAGAGAGAGAGAGAGAGAGAGAGAGAGATCTACCACCTGCTGCAAATTAGACGTGTCCCTAACCTAACCTAACCTCACCCCTTCTCACATAACACCTCCAAACTCTCCCGTCACACACCTGTTGTTTGGGAGTCCTTGTCAGGTGTGTGCAGGTGTATAAGACGCACTTAGCGAGGTCCTGTTCAGTATATACACTCACATTAGCAGACGTAAACAAAATGATATTGAGTTTAAGTGTTTGAGAGGAGCTGTAAGTGTGTCGTGTGTAAGTGTCTATGTGTGTAAGTGTGTCTGTGTGTAAGTGTGTGTGTGTGATTGTTATTAGAGGGGTGATTGTTGTTGTTGTTATTGTTTTGTTGTTGTTTTGTTGTTGTTGTTGTTTAGGTGAATTAGATGGCGGGAAACACTTCTCTCAGGAGGGGAGAGAGAGAGAGAGTTATGGTGGGTAGTTAGGTGTGTGTGTGGTGTGTTACATGGTGTGGTGGTAGTGTGTTACATGGTGTGGTGGTAGTGTGTTGCATGATGTGGCGTGATCCTCCTTGTTACCACCTTAGTGTTGTGTCTTATTACACTATGTGGCAACACAGAGTTAAACACTGGCCATTAATGTAATTGAGGTCTTTGTCACTTCCTCCTCCTCCTCTTCTTTTCTTCTCCTATTCTTTCTCCTCCTCCTCTTTTCCTTCTATTTTCTTCCCCCTCCCTCCACTTCTTCCCTCTATCATTCTCCTCCCTCCTCTCTACTTCTCTCCTCCTCTTCTCCCTCTCCTCTTCCTCCTGCTCCTCTTCCTCTTCTATCCTCCTCTCTTCTTCTCCCCTCCTCCTCTTCTTCTCCCCCTCCTCCTCTTCGTCTCCCCTCTACGTCAACTCTCATCACTCCTCTTACCCTTCCATTCTCCTTCCTTCTCTCTTTCTCTCTCTTCATCCCTCATTCTCCTCCTTCCCTTCTTCCCTCTTCTCTCCTCTCTTCCCTTCCCTCCCTTTCTCCCCTCACCATACCAAAGACAAGAACATGCTAACCAACACACTGCCATAGAGACGACAATCCCACCCATTAATGTCACCCTCCCATCCTGACAGACACTCCCTCCTGACAACCCCCCTCCCTGACCCCCTCCCTGACAGTCTACCCCTCCTGACAGTCTCCCCCTCTGACAGTCACCTCCTGACACCCCCCTCTGACAGTCACCCCATCCCTGACAGTCTCCCCCTCCTGACAGTCTCCCGATCCTGACAGTCTCCCCCTCCTGACAGTCACCCTCCTCCTAACCCCCCTCCTCACACAGTTTCTTGCAGGGTACACCTAATTATTCATGCTTCCGGTGTATGTATGCATGTATGTATGTATGTATGTATGTATGTAGAGGATTTGGAGGGATTAGAGAGGATTAGGTGATTATCTAGAAGCGTGTTTTAGGATTAGGATTACCCAATCTTTATTTAATTTCGTGTTAATTAATTAAAAGGATTAGATATTATTCCCTCCATGATTTAAAAAACATTCCTTAATTTTCGATTAAATGTAGTGATCGAAAAGTCCATGTGCACCTGTTTGACTGTAAAACAATGAATAACCACGTATGATTAGTTAACACAGGTGCACAGGAGTTTTGGATCACCGTGAACAAGGCGAGTATATAGCGTTAAGAGAAAAGGGTTTATCTTTAACAATAGCCAATAAAAACCCTTAACCAGACGAGTTGAAAGAATAAGTGGAAGATAAGTGGCTGTGAGAACCATCCATAATAAAAAACACAACACCTCATTCTTAAAACCGGAGTCTTGAGTGTTTGTTGACGTGGGGACTGCTGATTGGGTGCCACGATAAACAAAAGACGATCACTATAGATACGACAACCATTCATAAACATAACACTTATAGTATAGGGGAAGTGCAGGATGTGTGTTGACGTGGGGACTGCTGATTGGGTGCCACGATAAACAAAAGACGATCACTATAGATACGACAACCATTCATAAAACATAACACTTATAGTATAGGGGAAGTGCAGGATGTGTGTTGACGTGGGGACTGCTGATTGGGTGCCACGATAAACAAAAGACGATCACTATAGATACGACAACCATTCATAAAACATAACACAGGGGAGTACAGGTTCTTTGTTTACGTGAGAACAGCTGATCGGCGCCAAGATGTCAACAGAGAGTAGTATTACAGCTTCGATAACCATTCATAAATATACAACAATAATGTGTCGACTTTTTAAAAGGGATTTGTTTTGTTTAGACATGTCAGCTGATTGTGTGTGTCTGTGTGTGTGTGTTTAGTGGTGATGTAGTGGGGCATGTGTGTGTGTTTGTTTGTTTTGCTGGTTGTTGTTGTGTGTGTGTGTGTGTGTGTGTGTGTGTGTGTGTGTGTGTGTCCTCCTCCTCCTCCTCCTCCTCCTCCTCTATTACCAGCAGACAAGCAAGAAAACCCATACATAAATAACACACACACACACACACACACTAAAAAACTTGTGACAGCTCTAGAGTGAACACTAGTTGCAGGGAGGACCTGCACTACCTCCCCTGCCCGCCCATTCCTGCCCGCCCATCCCCTTCAAAAACTCCTAAGTCATTTCTTTATCTCCCTTAAATTACAGGTAAGACAAAGTAAAATCTAGTTACGGTAGAGTCTCAGTGTGTGTGTGTGTGTGTGTGTGTGTGTGTGTGTGTGTGTTGGTAAGTCATTTATTTGGTTAATTTTACTGCAAAAAATATTCACAATTTTAACCCTCCTCCACCCCCTCCTCCACCCTCCTCCACCCACTCATTCCACCCATTTATTCCACCCTACAGTACACCTACCTACTCCACCCTACACCCATCTCAGTCCACCCTCACATTACCTCTTCACCGTCATTAATTATCTTCCCTCCACCCTCACGTCACCTCCGCCCTCTTGGCCAGACGCAGAAAGGTGGTGGGGATGCAGGAGCACAGATGGTGGTGATTACCAGCTGCTGTAAAAACTAGCGACATGTCCTCCTCCTTCTCTCCTTCCCTCCTTCCCTCCCCCTCCCTCCCTCCATCCTCTGTTCCCTCCCTCCTTCTCTCCCTTCCCCCTCTTCCCTCCATCCTTCTCTCTCTCTCTCTGTTCCCTCCCTCCTTCTTTCCTTCCCTAACCAGCTTCTCTTTCCTTCCTTCCTTCCTTCCTTCCTTCCTTCCTTCCTTCCTTCCTTCCTTCCTTCCTTCCTTCCTCCCTTAGTCTCAACCACTAGTTTCATCTTGTAAATAAAACTCAGTATTAATCATTTATTCTATAACAAGTACACGAGTTCGATTCTCCTGATCGTATTTCATCGTCTATGCATCAAAAACAGACAGACAGACAGACAGACAGAGACAGACAGTAGGAGGTGGGGGGACACGTGAGTAAGCTACTAATAATGAGTTGGCTTTGAATTATGAGTCCACCTCACTCATCCTCCTCACTTACCCCTCACTCCTCACCTCTCTCACCTCTCTCACTCCTCTTCACCTTCACACACTCTCACCTCTCACACCTCTCACCATGCCTCATTAGTCTGTCACTCACCTCTCACCCCTCACTCCTCACCTCACTCACTCTACAGTACCGCCGGCCCTGTTTAGTATGTTAGTAAGGGAAGTGGTGGGTGGTGGGTTAGTGGGTGGGTGGGTGATGGGTTGGTGGGCTAATGGGTGAGGGTGGTTAGTGGGTGGGTTGGTGGGTGGTGATGAGTGAGTGTTTGAGTAACTGGATGTTTAACTAACTAACTGTCTGGTTGTTTATTTCTGACTGTCAAATTTACTGACTGGAGGGGAGGGAGGGAGGGAAGAAGAAGAAGAGAGAGGAGGAAGAGGAGAAGGAAAAGAAGGAGGAGGAAAAGGAGAATGAGGGGAAGAGGAGGAGGAGAAGAAGAAGAGATACACAGTTCAACACCAAGATTAGGATCAACAACTCCTCGTGTGGGATTCTGGAAGCTGGTGTGATGCTCATTTGTTTTTTTTGTTCTGGTGTTTATATTTACAGACCTATCACCATCATCTTGTGTCATTTATACAAGATGTCTCGATACGTCCATGAGAACCAGTGTTAGGTTAGGTTAGGGTAGGGAGGTTAGGTTAGGTTAGGTTGGGGATGGTTAGGTTAGGAGGGGGGGTAATCTTGGCTGGGTAGGAGTGACCTGTGGGTTGTGAGAGAGGTCGAGCATAGCGTTGTGTTGCCCAGTGCAGCTGCCATTGATGAGCGCCACATTAATCACTATTACTGCACGCCCTCACCTCTCTCTCTCTCTCTCTCTCTCTCTCTCTCTCTCTCTCTCTCTCTCTCTCTTTCTCTCTCTCTCTCCTCCTACCCACTCTACCCTACCTAAAATCCCCTTGTCACCTACCCCTACCTCACCCTACCCTACCCTGCCCTACCCTACCCCTACCCTACCCTACCCTACCCCTACCCAATAACTATCTACTAACCCCTCAAAAAGAAACCTAACCTAACCTTTCAGAATCTTCTCTCTTAAAAAAAATAAATAAATAAATAAATATATCCTACGATTTTTATTTAATTTTTAATTTTTTTACACTAAGTTATTTTACAGAATGTTGTCACCAGCGTCTTAAGGGGTAATCTCAAGGGGGTCGAGTGTCTGCTTTAATACGTGAGGGGGAAGGGGAAGGGGAAGGGGGGAAGGGGAACATGTAATACTCAGTACTTAAAAAAAACCCCACCTATTCGCTATCTACCTA